AGTTGTTCATCCAATTTTAGGTCAATCACCTAATACTTTACCTACTTGGTGATACGCATACTTATATACTTAGCACTCAGTAGCAGCCCGGAGACAGGAAGTAGGCAGTGATACAACCCCGTGTCTCGGAAAGCAAATAAAGTCGTGGTTCTGCGCCTCTCTCCGGTCGTGTCGCTTTACCGTCCCATCGGAATATGAGAGTTCACCTGTGCATGCGCATGCGCTCGGGCACTATAATCCTGTCTTGCGCAGATAGCTAGTCTACGTTAAGACCGAAATTCGGTCTGGAAGACATTATAAAACGCGGTGATACCTCGCGACGCGACCATCAGCATATGATGGTGGTCTAGAAATGTCCCGACGAAACAGCGATTATGACCTACAAGCCGATGTCACAATCTCGAGGCAATGGTTATTGATTACTGGCGACGTTACTTTCGCATGGTCTTAATGGCGATATCTCAGTAGCTCAGTATTCATTGTTCCTCCGTGCGAATGGCCAATCTCAGTGACGTGGCATTTTTTTATAGAATAGGGTGATAAACGATTAAACAGCCCAATTAGATGTAAGTGGTTGCTGTGGTTCATAGACATCCTCGATCTATCCTCGATTAAGAATCAAAATGTAGAGGCATTGTCACCCCTGAGGACTAAGATGGAATGCCTCGTTTCCAGTAAAAAGGGTCTCCAGTTCTCTACACTCACCATAAAAAACACAGCAGCATTAAGCTGCTATTTTAAGTTGGTATTCCGTGAGAGCGTGGTCCTACCCAGTTCAAACCTACCCAATCGTGCTACAACCATAATAATATAGCTGAAGCACGGCTCTACCTATGCATTTTCACATACGAGTAATGCATGAGTATATTCGGTCCCCTATTTCGTGGGGCCTGCAGTGTATCAATGCGGGGCGTGGGCTAAGCTGGGACCCAGAGCAGCTGCTCCGCATGTTCTTTACATTATCAACCACCCTAAATACCTAAGTACATGATTGGTATCAATTTCTTTTACTGCACTTACACCTACACTGGAATACTTTTTCTGTAATAGGTAATTATCGACAGAGGCGTAGAATGGACTAATATAGACGTGGGCGAAGTCGCAATAAAGAGGCTCCTTTTCTTTTGTTCCCAAGATCTATCCTACCAAACATGTCTTGATACAACATACCTACTCAGAGCTATTAATTCCTGACAAGTCTCGTATTTCGTCAATCTAACGGTCGCGGTCTTTGAAGGTCAACGGTCCGAACGAACAACGGTCTTGCAGTCGCATTTAAGAGGGGCTTCTTACGAGGCCCCAAACATACACGCTTTTAAATTTGTAAAAATCGTAAAAGTGATCAAATTAATTAGTCACCTGCTGTAAAGTCTGGAGGAATCGCACTTAAAGAGGCCCTTCAAGCCCCCTTTAAGTGTGAGGCCGTGGGCGAGGGCCCACTTCGCCCAGGCCTAGCTACGCCATTGCTTAACGATACTCAACCATCATCATCATCATCATTACAGCTGTTCAAAAGTCCACTGCTGAACATAGGCCTCCCTCAAGGAATACCACAAAACATGATCCTGAGCCACCTAGCATACATCGACTTCCTGCATGTCTTACCAGGTTGTCACTCCATCTAGAGGAGGGATGCCATACCCTTCGTCCGCCTGTACGAGGCCGCCACTCGAGAACCTATTTTCCCCATCGATTGTCGGTTCTTCGAGCTATATGGCCGGCCCATTGCCACTTCAGCTTACTAATCCGTTGGGCTATGTCGGTCACTCTGGTTCTACTGCGGATATCCCCATTACTAAGTCTATCATGCAGAGAAACTCCGAGCATAGCCCTCTCTATAGCTCGCTGAGCAACCTTAAGCTTCCTCATCCAGCCAGCAGTGAAGGACCATGTCTCAGTTCCATAGGTCATCACTGGCAACACGCACTGGTTGTACAGTCTCGTTTTCAAATTTTGAGGTATAACTGACGAGAAGACGTGCCGTAATTTCCCGAATGCTGCCCAATTGAGTTGAATCCGTCGATTGACCTCTCGGTCGAAGTTGGACTTACCTAGTCGGACTATTTGTCCCAGGTAAATATACTCGTCAATAAATTCGAGCTTAAGGCTCCCAACAACTACCGGCATAGGTGTGACATGGACATTAAAAATGGTCTTTGTTTTGCCCATGTTCATCTTAAGACCTATCCGTTTGGAGACACTATTGAGGTGATTGAGCATAGTGCTTAGGTCCTCCAACGATTCTGCCACAAGGACTATATCGTGGGAAAATCGAAGGTGAGTAATTTACTCGCCATAGATTTTAGTAACGTATCCGTTCCAGTCCAGTTAGCTTGAAAACGTCTTCCAATGCAGCGTTGAAGAGTTTCGGGGATAAAACGTCGCCCTGTCTTACACCTCTCTGCAGTTGGATTGACGCGGCACGTGGCGCAGACATTCGTACAGTAGCATCGATAGCAATGCGCGCGACGGCTTATATGGTCGAAATCTTTTTGTTTGGCGGAAGATTTTGGTCCAATATTGGAACAAGTCTGTTAGTGCGCTGAGCGGATGAAAAGGCACGCGCACGTTTCCTGTGTTGTCACTGAGTTGCCTGAAGCAGAATCCTGGGACTCACATAAAGTACTCATTCCTACTGGCACTTCATCGTCGTTCTTCATGCTTCTTGTTCCACGCATGGTGCTTCTTGTTGCGGTATTTGAACGTCTTTTAAAATACGCATGTATTGTTCTCGCTAAGAGATGTTAATAAAGTTATGCATATGAAAGCAAGTTTCAAATTTTGAGGATATTGAGAATTGAAGTTGAGAGTGAAACTTATAACTATCACGAATTTCGCATTTTTCATAGATAGCGTTATTGTATATAAAAAGTATAGGTAGATTCGAATTATGTAAGCAATTATTGAAAACCACACCTACATATAAACTCGCCCAATGCTTCAAACTGCGATTAAAAAACAGGACTTTGTAAAAAAAAAAATGTTTTTCCCTGAGTAAGTTAATAAAGTAAGTAGTAAACAGTTAAGGCGTATCTAACGACGCGTATATCTTAAAATTCATAGCATTCATACACACGAAAGACATTATCTACCTTCTGGGGATGTCGGGTAATATGCCTATAAACTTCTAAACTATAAACTTTTACTTGCGGCTTTGCTCGCTGGACTTCGCTTCAGCCTAATTATTAGTGTGTAATATCAACATTTACCACACAGATAACTGTATACTAGTTTAGCAAAGGTGACACTTTTGGGATCACCTCGTTATCTGCACAGACTAACTAGTAGATTTTAACCGAATGTTATCTGTCAGTGTGTCTATCTGTATGTCGCAAATATTCTTTTCAGCGACTATTTCACGTAGATGCTTGCAATTTGGCATAGATAAAATAGTAACTACTCAAATGCGGACATGAGGTTTAAACTTCTAATTTTCGAATTAAGTTTTAATTTTGAGAAGTAAAATATGCAACATAAAAGTGTTTGAAGATAATTATTATAGAAATAAAAGAGTATGGGTCCCCTCTATGAGGCAATCTCCCATAGATTTAAAGGAAGCCTTCGTTCAGCAGTAATTATACAAATGTCCTTAAATCCACCGAAGTAATCCCTTAGTGCACTTACTACGTGGGATATCTTGACAGCAAAAGGAATATATAAATTGCAAGTACCAATTTCCACGCAATGCAGCCGAGTTAGTAGTAGGTTGGATCATCTACATTATCATATTCAGGGTGTGCTAAGATTAACCCGTTCGCGGAAACGGCTACAGATATAATTTCGATCGGCACTCCACCCCATATGTCGGTCACCTCGTGAGCCAGGTCCAGTTATTTTGTTCACTTATCTGTTTCGGCTTTCACGAGTTTCTCGTCATAAGGAATGGTAATGTCGATCAAAAATATCCTTGACTGTGCTCGGTCCATCAGTACAATATCAGGCTTATTCGCAAGAATGGTCCTGTCTGTGATGATGGCTCGGTCCCAGTAGAGCCTGGCGCGGTCATTTTCGAGCACGACTTCCGGCACGTACTTATAATAAGGCAGTTTCCGATCCAGGACACCGTATTTCAGAGCGAGCTCCTGGTCACTAATGCAGAATGTATTAATTTACTACTATGAACAATATCAGAAATTATTGTTTATTATTTTTATTGAAAGTAAAATTTGTTCAACCTAGCTGAATAATTTGCTAAACAGATTACCAAACCAGAACACAACAGTGCAGTCACTGCTGTGAGTCGGATGGATTCCTTGTCACAAATGGAGTTCTACCACTTAATTTTAAAAAAAATAGGCGGCTTAAAATCCCCTACCTCTTCAAAGTATAGTTTATATATAAAAATCAATTGCTGTTCGTTAGTTTCGCCAAATTTCGAAAGCAGCTTGACCGATTTAGTGAAATTTTTTGTGTGAGTTTCAGTGGGTTCCCGGATGGTTTAGATTCTTAATTGGACCCGCTAGGTGGCGTTGTTGTAGAGATCCAGAAATCACTCATACGAATGATTTCTGTGTGATAGTATTTTTGAAACTAAAATTAACTTTCTGTCAACTCAAATTCTTATTCATCATAGAGCGACACGCACCGGCGCGACGGTCCGGAGTTGCTTCGTGTTGCTCTATGTTTTTGGTCAAATTAAAAAAAAGGAGATTTATAATTCCATTTTATTTAAAATAATGTTAAGTGATATTTTCATTCATTTCGAACTAATTTTGATGATTCTTATTTTATTTAGATTATACATAAGAAATGGAAGTCAAAAATATAGACGACTTTGAAATTTTTTTACTTGGTACACTCAAAAGGTTACAAAAAATAACAATAAAAAGAAAAAGCCGATATCAAAGAATCATAAGGAATAAAATAATCTTGAACACAAAAATTATCCTTTTAGTTCCTTGATATTATTGGCAGAATGGCAAAAATTTATTTTATTTATATGTTTTGTTTTGCTTTGTGTTGATATATTTTATGATTTTAAAATGTTTGTATATTTGCAGCTGCATTTGGGGGACTGCTCAGTCTAATGCTTGGCTTCACGTTGATATCCGGCTTCGACTTCGTGATTTTCTTTGGATTCAAAGTAATTTTCGACTCCACAACGAGGGTACTTCCAGGTGGGAAAAAATCAAAGAAGAAACGTAAGCGAAACGGAGGTTCGATAATACTAGTGCAAGAGACACATAAGAAAGCCATAAAAGAAAACAACTCGGTCAAGGATATTGGCATGTGGCGTACAGAGTTACATAAACAACAAAAATACTAAAGAAATTTGACAAAATGTAATATTAAATTAGATTGTTTTGTTAGTGTGCTCGTACAGAACTTTATACTACTCATTAGCACATTATACACGTCGATAATGATTTACTTTGAAGATATATTTTAACACTATAGTCAAAAAGTAGATGCTAGTGCTGTGCTATTGTTGTCAGCCTTATGTCTTAATAATATTAAACAATACCTATGAAATTGTCGTTATTTATGAAATGACTTAACGTAATTTTTATCTATATTTTTAATTCTATTAATCAAAGTAATCACCCATGCAATCGATGCATCTTTGCCAACGCAGTGGCAGTTTATTGATGCCCTTTTTGAAGAAGTCAGCTGGACGGAAGGCAACGAATTCTTCAAAGGCATTTTGTACTGCCTCTTGGGCATTGCATTTTTTCCCGCCAAAAAGTTATCCAAAATCTGTATGTGCAAGGTCTGGTAGGTACGGCGAATGACGGAGAGCTTACAACCCCAGCTCTTGTGTGTTGTGCAGTATGAGAGATCGCGCGTTGTCGTGCAGGAGCAGCGCGGACGAGCGATTGGCAAAGCTGGTTGGAGACGTGCGAGCTTCTTCATCATTGTGTTCAGTTCTTACACATTTGCAGTACACATTTGCTGTGATGCTTAACTCACTTGGTAAGCTGTAATGAATACCGGCGCTAGACCACCAAGCAGTGACCATCACTTTTTAGGGGTAAGTTTTCGTTTAGGGCATTGTTTAGGTGCTTAACCAGGATCCAACAAATTCCAACCAATTGGTAGTCGTAGAATGAGTATCAACAGCTTACACAATCGCCTTTAATTCGTTATTGTCAATCAAAGTTTTCGGACGACTATGTGGTTCATTTTTCAGGTCGAAATTTCCAAAACGGAAGCGGGCAAATCAATAAAATGTGCGTTCATTTGCAGTATTCGCTCCGTAAACGTTGTTGATGTTGCGTGACACTTGTGCCGCGTTGCTGGCACGACGTTGCTCATATTCCTTGATTACTCGAATTTTTAACGTATAACGTAAAACATAACGCTAATCAATAAACAAATAATTAATTTCGCAAGAAGAATACCATGTTTTTTAAATAAAATTTATTTCAAATTAGAATTCTCAGACAAACAAAAATTATTTTGATTTGAAATGGCCAGTATTGCAGAACGACAATTTCATTGGCCTGTTTCTTTAAATATTGTATTGTAGTTATAAAAACTTAGTGATATTGAATAGTAATTAGATCACTTTCAATCTTATGCTACATGTTTTATTAATAAGGTACGTCCTGCATGCAATACTATAAATATACTATCACACGATAGGTTGTATGTCAAATTCGAACAAAAGGAACGACGCTCCGGCAGTGTGTACATTTATGTACCATTTACGTACCATTGGGAGACACTTTAAAATACCTTATAATAGAAAAACAGACTTGTGATTTTTCATACCTAATAAATTCTTCTGGAATACTTAGAATCGAATGTCGACATTTTGACGAGCTGAGATATCGTAACGCTGATATGGACATTTTTAATTCTAACATCTTAAAATTTAAAAGATACGTAATGCCTATGATAAATACGTAAATTTCACGAATATCATTAAATATGTTTTATTTACTGACACTCATATTTTGTATTGCTAGATTTTGATACTTGTTGTCATATTTTGGTTTGTTGTACACACTATTAGATTATGGACTAGTTATAATATTAATTGCTACTGTAACTGTGTTAACATTTTGTCAATTCAATCTGTGTGTGTGTTGTATTAAAATAAAAATAAAAACTGATTAAAGTTTATGAAGAAACCCGTTAAATTTCTTGACTTGTTAACATCTGAAAAGTGCCATTATTAACCCCCGACGAAAACAGAGGAGTGTAATATGTCCGTAGTGTGTATCTGTGTATCTGGGTATCTGTGTATCTGGGTATCCGTGTATCTGCGTATCTGTGTATCTGGGTATCTGTGTATCTGGGTATCTGTGTATCTGGGTATCTGTGTATCTGGGTATCTGTGTATCTGGGTATCTGTGTATCTGGGTATCTGTGTATCTGTGTATCTGGGTATCTGTGTATCTGGGTATCTGTGTATCTGGGTATCTGTGTATCTGTGTATCTGAGTATCTGTGTATCTGGGTATCCGTGTATCTGCGTATCTGTGTATCTGGGTATCTGTGTATCTGGGTATCTGTGTATCTGGGTATCTGTGTATCTGTGTATCTGGGTATCTGTGTATCTGGGTATCTGTGTATCTGGGTATCTGTGTATCTGGGTATCTAGGTATCTGTGTATCTGGGTATCTGGGTATCTGGGTATCTGTGTATCTGTGTATCTGTGTATCTGAGTATCTGTGTATCTGGGTATCTGGGTATCTGTGTATCTGGGTATCTGTGTATCTGGGTATCTGTGTATCTGGGTATCTGTGTATCTGAGTATCTGTGTATCTGGGTATCCGTGTATCTGCGTATCTGTGTATCTGGGTATCTGTGTATCTGGGTATCTGTGTATCTGGGTATCTGTGTATCTGGGTATCTGTGTATCTGGGTATCTGTGTATCTGTGTATCTGAGTATCTGTGTATCTGGGAATCCGTGTATCTGGGTATCTGTGTATCTGGGTATCTGTGTATCTGGGTATCTGTGTATCTGGGTATCTGTGTATCTGTGTATCTGGGTATCTGTGTATCTGGGTATCTGTGTATCTGGGTATCTGTGTATCTGGGTATCTGTGTATCTGGGTATCTGTGTATCTGTGTATCTGAGTATCTGTGTATCTGGGTATCCGTGTATCTGCGTATCTGTGTATCTGGGTATCTGTGTATCTGGGTATCTGTGTATCTGGGTATCTGTGTATCTGTGTATCTGGGTATCTGTGTATCTGGGTATCTGTGTATCTGGGTATCTGTGTATCTGGGTATCTGGGTATCTGTGTATCTGGGTATCTGGGTATCTGGGTATCTGTGTATCTGTGTATCTGTGTATCTGAGTATCTGTGTATCTGGGTATCTGGGTATCTGTGTATCTGGGTATCTGTGTATCTGGGTATCTGTGTATCTGGGTATCTGTGTATCTGAGTATCTGTGTATCTGGGTATCCGTGTATCTGCGTATCTGTGTATCTGGGTATCTGTGTATCTGGGTATCTGTGTATCTGGGTATCTGTGTATCTGTGTATCTGGATATCTTGTATCTGGGTATCTGTGTATCTGTGTATCTGTGCATCTGTGTATCTGTGTATCTGGGTATCTGGGTATCTGTGTATCTGTGTATCTGTGTATCTGTGCGTCTATCTGTGGCATCATAGCTCCTGAGCGGATGAACCGATTTTGATTAAGTTTTTTTGATAGTCCTTAGGTATATTTCAAGAAAATCTGTACAGCCGTTTGAAGATCATCAGTTCTTTTAGTTTTGGGAGTTTTTAAAATTTTTAATTTAAGTTATTATCACACATTGACTGACTCTTCCACTTCTGGGTTACTAAGAAGCTTGAAATTTGGTATCCAGAATCATTAGTCGGTATACAAAGCAAAACATCAGGGAACTGCAAAATATCAATTTTCAGTATAGACAAAGTTATCGTTGCGGTTAGTTTTTAGATGTAGTTAGCTTGTCGAAATTAATTAAATATTATAATTTACATTAAAAGTAGAACACTAGGAAGCATAAAAGCAGTAAAAGTCGTTGAGGGTCATGTTTACATTAAAATTTATTTAGATTAAAAAAGGATAAAACATTTTTCAAAAATTAATGACATTCCACCATAAATATAAATGCCAGTTCAGATCTCAATCTGTTTTTATATTTATATTTTTAGTAGGATTATAAAATATTGACGGATACATCATAAAATACATGAAATAAATATTCCTCAGCTAATTCAATCTATTATCTGTAAAACAGCAGCACGACTGCGGTCTGCCTTCTCTTTTGACGCTAGATCACAACTGTACAATAACAGCAGCACGACTGCGGTCTGCCTTCTCTTTTGACGCTAGATCACAACTGTACAATAACAGCAGCACGACTGCGGTCTGCCTTCTCTTTTGACGCTAGATCACAACTGTACAATAACAGCAGCACGACTGCGGTCTGCCTTCTCTTTTGACGCTAGATCACAACTGTACAATAACAGCAGCACGACTGCGGTCTGCCTTCTCTTTTGACGCTAGATCACAACTACCAATAAATCAATTACGAACGTATTACCCCTTTTCCTCTTTGCTCCGTCAAGATATTATTTAGTAGGAGGTAGGGGACTCTTTTACACCACCCCTACACGGCATTATCAAGATCCTGCACTGACTTCACGACTTCGAAATATTTACATCCAAGTGGTTAAGGCTTTGTTGGATATAGACGATCGTTTTATTTTACCGCTAAGCAAGTGGTAAATATATATAAATTAAAATCAATTAGCGTATGTATTAAAGATCATCACTTGAGAACGGCTTAGAACACTTTGAGTCTCTCACAATTTGACCAGGTAAGTAGCACAAATGGGTTCCAACTCGCTGGAACCCAACCCCAGAACACGGTGTCTGTCAGGACTTAGAATTCATACCTCCCTAACTATTAGTTTTTAAAGTTTACGAAATGATTATTTGCAATGTAAATAAGTTCATCATACTTATCACTTGATTTAGAAAACAATTTATAAGTAAATAAATAATATAAATCAATTTTTTATATTTTAGACATATAATAAAGTAGTAAAAATAAATAACTAAAAGAAAACATCGATGTCGATTGTTGATAACATTCGGAACGAAATCACTATAAAGACGTCATAACTTGTAAAATAACGTCACACATAATACTACTACAATAGAGATGTCATTTCTATAGCAAATCAGAAAATACAAGTGTATTTACTCTCTTATTCGGCAAAGTATAAAGAAAATAAAAATTACCATTTGACATTTCTATTTACACGCATGAATTACACGCAATATATTTCAATAGATTTGTCTGTTTTTACCTTATTTGAAAATTAAATTAGAAAAAGTGAGAAAAGTATATTGACTCAATTTTAAAATTGTAGGTTCTTTCTATGCATACTTATGTACATAAGTAATTAATCTAAGGCCCAAACCTATCAAATATTCATAATGATTCATAATTAGATTTGACACTGTCATGAATCGACCCACACTGACAAAAATGTAACTTGCTCGCCAGGCAGACGTTGTTCTGCCCTTTGCAACGACCCTTCCTATAAAAATCATTAAATTCGAAATAATAATATTTGAGGGTCATTTAACGGGACAAAAACAATCCTATCTCTCAAGTTGGACCAAAATGCACACAGTGTGCAAAATTTCATTGAAATCAGTTAAGTAGTTTAGGAGTCCATCGCGGACAAACAACGTGACACGTAATTTTTATATATAAAGATAAAAATGAAGGAGTTAGATTAAGCAAACTAATAAAAAATGTGATATAAAAATATTAAATAATCTATAAAAATATTTTTGAATATTCTAAAATTTTGCAGACGTAATACAAAGAGATAATTATACAATAATTTCATAACTATGACCTATTATTCTGACTAGGATCATCGCAGCTCATGGTCTGTTGTTTAATAACATAAACTGTCATACCTGTCATCCAGAGGGGTAGGCAGAGACTACCGACTACATTAATTACGTGCGTATTGTATTACAAGCAAGTGTCACAGTTTTCTATCATAACTTCGTAAAAATTAATTTATATAGTACGTCTCTACATGAGTTAAACACTATATACTTTATACACAAGAAAGGATTCAAGGGGAAAGTTGATAAATGGGATACTATAAATTTTGTTATGGTCGCAACGGGAAATCGGTCCATCGTCCTGCCCTGTATTTAGATACTAATTTGTTTGTAGAATGATAAAGCACACGTGTGTTTTAACGTTTCACAGGCAACATTTGCTATGTATTAATCTGATAACATCGAAATCTAATAAGGTACGTAAAGCGATTATGTAATGATTCTATAGTTATACCTCTTTATTTATATTATATAGTCCTTATCCCTTTAATCCTAAAACAAAAACAAAGATAATATAGGAACTCCGTATTTTGATTTGATTAGCAGAGCGATTGTGTAATTCCTGTGGGACTCGTGGTTGGTTTAGTTTTGACGTTAAATTAGGTTTCATTGCATTGATACTGATAGAATTATTAGTACTAATAAACAAGCTATGCTTTTCATGTATTAATATTTCACTTTTGATTTACAAAATATCCATACTAATATTATAAATGCGAAAGTGTGTTTGTTTGTTTGTCCTTCTTTCACGTCGCAACAGAGCGTCGGCATGGTATGATTTTTTGTATGGGGATAGTTCGGTGGCTGTAGAGTGACATAGGTTACTTTATCCGCGGAATAACATCTCATTCCCGTGGGAAAATAAAATATGTTGCAAAAGTTTGTCCTTCTTTCACGTCGCAACAGAGCGTCGGCATGGTATGAATTTTGGTATGGGGATAGTTCGGTGGCTGTAGAGTGACATAGGCTACTTTTTTTCGCGGAAAAATATCTCATTCCCGTGGGAAAATCGAATATGTTGCAAAATTAAATTAAGCTAGGTGGCGCCACCGTGATTCTACAAGACGGACGACGGTATGATAGACGAACACAGAAGGTCAGAATATCTGGATTATTATGTATTTTTACCAAAATGAAGATAAAAAATGTATGGATCTGTATTTTTCCACGCAGGATCGGGAAGAGAGCGATAAAAAACATAAAATTCATCAGCTGATTTTCTTCAAACGTTTTGGTGCATTGTAGTTCACAGAATAGGCGATAACCTCGCAGACGATATTAAGTAATCCGTTGATGCTCTGCCTACCCCGCAAGGGTTACAGGTGTGATTATAAGTATGGATCAGAAATACTATCACCACCTGTCACGCTTTCACCCTTAACTATTACTCAACTGTGGTAGAAACAGTTCTTAGTAAGCCTTATTAATAAGCCTTAGTAATATTTATAAAACGCGGTAACGAAATGTTTCCTGACATGTACTTAACACCCGCCGTAGAGCCGCGCGTCAACTTATTTTCATTATGATACCCATACATGACGACTTGAAGACGACATATTCAGATGGCGGGGGCTTATGACGGCCCCCCGTCACGCCCGGCTTACCGTGTAGCATCGGACTCCCCAATTATAGTGCATACGGTACCTATACGCTTGAATTGTTTCTATTTCGTAGCTCATCCGACTACCTGCTTCCTATTTCGGTTGTTTGTTATTTGCTTTGTGATTTGGTTAAGGTTGAATGGATTTATATTGGCTTCCATTTTCGGATTTGTGTATTTTCTTGGATCGGTTTTGTTGATTTGGTTGGTATTCCTTTCCTTTATATATATTTAGACTCTGACTGACTGATTTTGGATTTTCTTTATTTAGAATCGTAAACTGGTTTTCGTTATTTTAGGTTGTTTAACAATATTTCAAAGGAATATTAATAATATAGATAGTGTATACGGTACCTATACACTTACTTCTTTTTTCGTTAGTTATATTTATATTGACTACTGCTTTCGATTTTGGTTTACTGCGATTTGTTTTGTGATATGGTTTAAGTGGATTCGATTTTTTTGCTATGGTTTTCGGATTCGTGTTTTGTCTTGAACTGGTTTTGTTGTTTTGATTTTAATAAATATTTAAAAGGAATATTTATTCCTTTTAGATATTTTGGATTTGCTTTTAAAAAAATATTTAAAAGGAAATTTAATTCCTTTTAGGTATTTTAACGTTTTTTTATAAATAGGTTTTTTGTTACTTCATAATGCCTCGCAAACGTAAGTCCAGCTTTTCAAGAGTATCTTCTCAAAGACAAGCGAAAAGATTAGCTTGATCTCTAGAATCTTTAGAAGATGCTGAATTGAGAAGGCATGAACAAGCAAAGCTTCAGGCTGCTTTTAGAGCATCTGAAACACCTTCTCAACGTCAGCAAAGGCGTCTTGAACAGACAGAGCACCAGGCTGCTTTAAGAGCTTCCGAAACACTTTCTCAAAGTCAGTGAAGGCGTCTTGAACAGGCAGAGCGTCAAGCTACTTTAAGAGCTACCGAAACACCTGCTCAAAGTCAGCAAAGGCGCCTTGAACAGGCAGAACGTCAAGCTACTTTAAGAGCTACCGAAACACCTGCTCAAAGTCAGCAAAGGCGTCTTGAACAGGCAGAGCGTCAAGCTACTTTAAGAGCTACTTAAACATCTGAT